CCCCGTTACACTTAAGCTTGTCCAAGCGTGAGCAATCGTTCATGGAACGAGAGGGCTGTGCCCTGGTGGGTTTGAAACACCGACCTATCGCTTGTGAAGCGAGTGTTCAGCCGCTGAGCTGTTGTTGACGACTCGAATGAGTCAAGAGCATTGCTCTAAGCGGTTTGCAACTCTTGGAGTAGGCGCGGAGCGCGAGCGTAGGTCTGAGACCGCTTGAGAGCAAGATGCGCGCTGCGCTTGAAACATTGGGCCGTGGGCCGACGACGAAAAGTTGGGCATCAACGATGCGTAGGCGTTTGTGAGCTCACGGAGCTGTACAACGCTGGGGTGAGGTGTAGTAACCTCAGCCGTCTTAACAAGACGTGACCTTGCTGAGGAAAGTTTCGAGAACGGAATGTTCTCATCTTAGTGGGGGAGAGTGTAACGGGGTTACATAGTGTGGAACACACAGAGGTACGAAGTACCCGGAGATTTAACAAACTCTCAGTACATAAGTTGGAGAGTTAACAAGGTCTCTCAGTACGGTGGCCGAAAGCCACACGTTATGCATTTGATTAGGTTTAACTATGCTAGATAGTTAAACAGATACATTTACCCCTAGGCGGCTTGGCCGCAATAATAGTAAATAAAACACTTCTGGTTTTGAAGCATAAAAGTTAAGGTGTTAACTTTGAGCCCTGGTCTTGGGCTGTAAGTGTCCTTGGATAAGGAACTTAGTATTAGTGACTCTTTGAGTCGAACGTCTTCCTCTGACGCTAAAGCTACGGCAGCCCCGCTGCAGCTCCTGTGAGCATAAATAGAAATGTATCCCTGTATTAGCTCTCTACAACCGTGCTAGCAACTATTTGCTAAACCTACGCGTTATTGCATGAGCTGCTGTGCCGTACGGAGTCTGAAATGATTTGTCCTAAAGTTAAAAAATCGTCAAATGGACTAGTATAATCAAGCTAAATTTTAATTCCATACAAAGTGGCGTCGGGCGTCTCAGCTGTCATATCCGACATAGGCAATTGCGCTTGGCGCGCTCGATTTTTGTCCTTATAATCGAGGTGTTAAGGACAAAATCACTCGGAATTTCACGATCTTGCATCTTATTTCGTCCTCATTTTAAGGACAAATTTTGTTGGGGTTATTAACTGCTGCGCGTCGCTCATGCGGGGTTAAATTTATTGCTGCAACGCTCACGTTTTCGCTGTACTATATGCACTTAGAGCGGAGAAGTATCAATAATATCTTGATCAATATTCAGTATCAAAATGAAAATTTCACGAGCGTCGCAGGTGTCGACGTCAAAACTGCTAAAACTTGCGAGGATTCATCACCTAAAACATTTCGTAAGCTAAAGAAGTCGCGCCCTGCTCTCTTACTTCTATTTTAAATATTTGCTCATACAATTGGAGATGAAACGCCACCAAAGAAGATTTTTCACAATGCTACAAAATAGCTCGCAGTAACGGTCTTAAAATAACCAATTGACCCAACAGAAAGAGAAAAAGCACATTGTAAACATTATTGAAATATGAAATCTGTGCTACACCCCAGTCTTACTTGTACTGTATTCTGTCCCGCAATAAATTCAAATGAATCCAAGGTGGCATCAATAAGCAAGCTTCAACATGCATTTCTGCTTCTACTCCATCCAGCGTAGCAAGCGTTGCACACATCTACATTGTGTCCCCTAGGTATTGCGCTATACTACCAGTGCAACTCCGTTAGGACAGTGGTATGGAATCTAAGCGATTTAACAACCACGTCGAAGGCTTCGAAAAGTCGTTGCTGCTCCTCACCACGAAGAATCCTTCGTGCAACTAGGAGCGAGGACTCAATGCGTAAATGCACTCGAACGGAGCTCGTGGCTGCCGCCGCAAAAATACGGTGAGGTCCGTTGTGATCTCTGCTCTAGATTTTTGGATCTTGGTGGCGTCACGTCCGTATCCAGGCCATCAGGGCTACATAGACCTCCCCTCTTGGTTGGCTCAGCGTCGTAGATATCAGACTTCCTATCGTCGCTTCTGTACGCCACGCTGCACTGTGGATGGCCACGGCGCATCGATCTCTTTCGAGGTGCCGGCTTTCATCTGTGAAGAGAGGGACTGGAGCGTGTCTGACTTGCATCTGCCTGCTCCGTCTTCCACAGCGTCGAGACCACTCTATTGCGAGCGAAATGCTCGGTCCGACCTCACTCTCACTCTTCAATTTGCCATAGTGGCGTCAACCTCTTTACTCTCCAAGTACGCCTCTGCAATCATCGCCATGTCCATTATGGAATGGGAAGCGCCGATTCCCGCGTGGATTGAATCTATCAGCATCGACATGGATGAGGAGATGCCCGATCTCTCAGTCGCGATCCCCTGTCAACCGATCAACATGGACGACACGCCGAATTGCACCCCCGTATCAACCAAGACGAACTGCTCTATCACCTCCTCGATGCCCGATGACGAGTTCGAAACGTTGCTGGAAAGCAAACTAGACGTTCGCACGGACATGCAACTAGACATTAAAAGCATCAAGATTGTCGCTGTATCTCCCGTCAAGACCAGATCCTCAACTGCACCAAGCATCAGCCCCATCAAGAGCAAACCCGTCGCTAAACCCAAGGCTAAGCCGGGCCGTCGGCCCCGCCACAAGGTCGACGTGGACCCTTCGGGCAGCAACCAGCGCCGCAAGAATAAACAGCGCGGCTACGAGAAGGACTACCGCATTCGCATGAAGAAAAAACGTTTACAAGACGAAGCCGAGTGGATCCGGCTGGAGACACAGACCCGCAATATGCTGACCAAACGCACGTCCGTTGTGACGTTGGGGATGTTGGATGAGCTAAAGACGGAGGAGAAGCCGTCGACGGTCTGCATCAGACAGCGATACCTGCAGCTACTCCAAGAAGAGCGAGCTCTCAGAGAGGCCGAGGTACTCGATAGCTGCTTTTTGGCCGACATCCAAGCTTTACTGTTGTGGGGCGGTACAACGGCGCCAAGTCGAGAGGTTCGTGAGCAGTTGAACAGCCTCCCGAGCTTAAGACGGTGCCACACGTTTGAGTTTTCGTGGTAGCAAGACTGCAGATCGCATGCAGCTCTTGAACAAGCGCGTAATTTTTTTTTCATGCCAGCATGAATGGCATAGTGTAGTAATGCGTGAATTTAGTATTCAATAGTTGTACAAGTACTAATATGCGAAGTCATCGTTCAGACGAGCGGATGGACAAGTGGCACAGGGCCACAGCAGAGTCATCGTGGTGGTGACAAGGATTGGGAACCGTTTGTCAGTACTTAGTCGTGGATGATGTTCGCTAACATACCATTAAAAAACACTTTACCTGGAGAGAAATCCATAATTTTCGAGTTCGCATAATATGCGAACACTAAAGTACAGTGCACACCAAAACTATAATATAGTGTCATAATAGAAACTGAAATTGGTAAGATTCCTCTCATAGGACAGCTAGATAGACTTTAGAGAACTCGACAATAACACTGACTAACCTCGTTATAAACGAAGAAAGAGCTATCAAGTCGACGAATGTTCACTGCTTTACGCTGGCTACCTAATAAATTTATACATTGTAATTGCACCGCTATAATAGCGATAGACAAATTGGAAACTGAGTACATTTTGCTACCTTAATACAGTGATTTGAGATCGCAGCCGCTACATCAGCTCTCTTGCAGTTGTGAGCAACGTGCATCTGCTGCTCGACGCTATCCTAAACTTTTCTACCCTTGTCCTCGCTTCAAAGGAAAGCTCATTTCTACGTAGCAGTATTAATATTGTGAATTAATTTTCAATGAGTCAATCAGTCACATGAAAATTTCCTGATATGTGACGCTGAGGTACCGTACATTGCTAAGAATAGGAATCTTTATTTTTCAGCAAAATCCTTTTTTTACTTAGGTATTTTTAAAACTTCTGACTAAACTATTTCGAGAAAAATCTAAAATAGAGTTGATGTAGCGCAGCGAGACCAACGCCAAGATACGGAAGACCTATATCAGCACGATCATGATCGCCGCGTTCCTGCAGATGTCGCTGTGCTTCATGTCGAACGTCACCTCGACGTATTCCTTGAGCGTCATTTCACCGATCGTGGGTGGAGCGTCCTGCAGCGTCTGGCAACTGATGCCGTCCGTGCTGCCGTCCGAGCAGTCAGCAAAGACCAACGACACGAGCATCGAGATGGTGTACGTCGGTGGAGAGATCCAGTGGACCCACATGTAGCCCGTTGGGATGCTGCCCGTGGGCGGGTTAAAGCCGGAGAAGAGTATGAAAATGCCGCTGAAAAGAGCTCCAAGAGTGGACGCCACAGCGACACTCGGTAGCGCAAACACCATGAGCTGTCCGAAGTACACGAACAGCAAGGCGTTCATGGCCACGACCAGCCAGTAGTAGAAGAACGTGACGTAACCCGTGAAGCCGACGCTCGGGTAGAAGATGATGCAGAACAGCAGACTCGACAAGAAAATGTACGGGATCTCCACCAACGTGCCAGCCACAAAGTACCACAGCGCGTTGTAGGTTTCCGACGCGCGTTCTCGGTAGAAAGCCGTGCGTTCGTCAGCAGCGACAGGCATGACGCTGTTGAAGCTGATGAGGCCGAGGAAGATCGTACTGACGAAGATCAGACCGATGCCGGAGCTCGCACCGGTGTACGTGCTGTAGTCAGTGCCCTGGTAGATGACGCTGAACACGCAGCCCAATAGGACACTGATAAACACGCGTGTGAGGTTGTAGGTAGGAGTACGCCAGTACATGCGGAAGAAGCGACGGCACAATAGATCGAATTGAGTGGCCGAGTTCGACGCACGCTTGGTATCAAACTTGAGCTCGGGCAGGTGCGGAGACGGGTACAGCACGCCTTCCTGGTCGAGATCTTCCTCCATCAACGCCTTCTGGTCGCTTACCACGAAGCGATCGGCATAGTCCAATGGCTGTGACGGATCGGCATTAGCAGCAGCCTTGCCGCCGCCAACACCAGCACCAATGCACTCCAACATCCAAGTAGCAGGGTTGTAGCCAGGCCTGATCGGGTTGACTTCAGGAAAGGATTCAAAGTAGTTGATCAGATTCTTGGAGTCCTCTCCAAGTTGGCCAAAGAACACCATACGACCACCACGACGGAGCAGTAGCAGCGAGTCGAAGAAATTGAACACTTCCGTGCTGGGCTGGTGGATCGTACACACAATGGTGCGGCCCGAGTCGGCGATCTTGCGCACCCCGTTCATGATCAACTTGGCCGAGCGCGCGTCCAAGCCACTCGTCGGTTCGTCCATGAAGATGATACTGGGCTGGGCTGCCAACTCCACTCCGATCGTCACGCGCTTCATCTGCTCCGTGGACGACCCGCGGATGATCTTGTCGGCGATAGGTCCGAGCTCCAATAGGTCAATGCATTCCTGTAGTTCTAGGACGTGTCCAGGACAGTGACGCGGCTCTGGATAAGAGGGAAACCAAGGTGCGGAGTGATGGTCGATGTCTCAAGATAAAAAGGCTGCGAAAACCGATGTGAAGAAAGGAGAACAAGACATGGTTTGATGACGAAGAAATCGACCAACGCAGGGATGGGCTGAAATATTACAACTACTTAGATAAAGAGATAGAAATAGAGAGAGAGCGAGAGAGAGAGAGAGAGAGAGAGAGAGAGAGAGAGAGAGAGAGAGAGAGAGTGAGAGAGAGAGAGAGCTGATTCTCCCCACAACGAAAATGGAAGGAACTGGAACTAGGGAATCGTTGGAGAATGGGAAAGAAGTCGAAGCGCCTTACTCACCGCTGCTCACCTCACCGTCTTCCTTCTCGTCATTGTCTGGCCCCGGTTGGGGGTCGTGCGCGTTGACCCAGGGCTCGATCTTCAATACGGGAGGGAACGCTGAAGGAGCACCGTCGGCACACTGGAACAGAATAAATGGCATAACCCTCTTTACTGGGCTCAAAAGGAGGGACCGCGGCTATCTTGTAAATACCCTTCTTGATCTCGAGTAAGGGATCGACATATAGATCCCGAATACAACGATTCCAGCAGGATTAATGCCATGGGCCGGTTTGTAGATTGCCGGCTCACCTTCGAGGATTGTGGGTGGAGCTGGTGACATCAACAAGATTGCGGGTCAGGGCTTGGTCGCGTAAGGCCGCTTTCAAGCTTGACAACTTCGAGGTCCGGAGCGTCAGTGAAGTTAAGCATCGATGGGAGATCGGAAAACCCATGTTTGGTCCAGCTTCGAAGGCTTGTATAATCCGTGGATCTTTTTTTCTTGTTGGAAATCAGGAAGACGCCGAGGTCGAACTCGGTTGGGCCTTTGAAATTAGTATCCCAGTTATTCTTGCCCGGCTTACCGCCCCACTACAACAAGTTGCGGTATCCCTGCCAAAGTAACCGAAGGTCTTGAAGCAGAGACCGATGAAGGCCACGCAAAGCTCATGGGCGACCATCTTGCGTTTACGACACTGTGCCTGATGTGACGGGGTCACACAGCACCTTGCGCAAGAGGAAGTTATCTTCCGAGAGTATACAAACTCTCAGTGAACGGCAGTTCACAGGTCCCCTCTTTTATTAAAGAGAGCGAAGTGACCCAAATAAGGTAGATTGTAAACTGAGTATATTTATAGGTAGATTAAGTTTGGGTTTAATACAAACTGTTAGTTACCTATAGAAATGCAATGTCATTTAACCAATGGTTGGCTTTGAACGACCTTGGTACCTTGTACCAAATATCTCGGAGTATGACGTGTCATACACCTGAAGTGTGAAGTGTCACACTTCATGTAACCAGGGTACACTTAGGGCTACGTACCCCGTTACATCCTTCCCCACTTAGGTTCGGTTTACCGACCAATCAGAATGAAGAGGTGTTCGTCACAAACTCTCATTCTCAAAGTCGAAAACCATCGACTTGGCCGCGCGAGCGCGGCGGAGGCTCACTTCACAGTTAGAGCCTCGAGCAGCAACCTGTGCGCTCTTCGTCTAGGTCTCCACTTCGACCGTTAACATGCCTCGTGGCACTACTAAGAGCGGTGCTAAGACACGCTCCAAGGCTGCAGCCGGTAAGGCGCAGGCCAAGAGCATTAGCCTCACGGCAAAGGCTCTGCACTCAAGGAGGCTACTCAGGTGGCCTCCGAGGCGATCGGTTCCTCGGGTGACGCGGCTGCGGACAAGCGCGCAAGCAGGCGCCGCAGTCCGTCGCCCTCGTCTTCAGACAACCGTCCGAACCCTCGGTTCGTAGAACGCGAGTTCAACTCGGGCAGTGAAGACGATGCCGAGTCCGAGAGCACTCAGGATGCTCCTGCGGGCTCTGTGAGAGGGCACAGCCCAGTGCCCAGTGAGCACAAAGAAGGCAGCGTGCAGTCGCCCGCTAGTGATCACGGTGATCACAGTCCCAGGACCTCTGTGCGCTCTGAGAGTCCGGCCGTTAAGGCTAAGGGCGCTCCCAAAGCCGGTGGCGATGAGGAAGAGAATCCTCGCAAACGTCTCTCGCTTGCCGAGGGTCTTGCGCGCGCTAAGGCCTCTAAAGCCGAAGGCACCAAGCCCTCAAAGAAGCGTACCGCCTCTAAGTTTCCACTCCGCGAGGAGAAGGAGACTCGACGCTCCTATCAGAGTCTCTTCGGCTCCTCGGATGAAGAGGAGGAGAAGGAGGAAGAAGAAGAGGAGGAGGGTGCTATCGTTGAGCCCCGGGAGGTCTCGAATGACCTCGACCAGCAGCAGGAGGAATTCCAAGCTGCCCAGCGTGTGCGTGGGGGTTCGGTGGCGGCACCCGTCAGCCAGGGAGCTACCATCAACTCAAGAGGGTATTGGCCTCCCGAGGAGAGCTCTGAGGCTGACCTCGTCTTAGCGATTCTCGTCGCTCCTCGTGGCCTTGTGGGCGGCCACACTTCTAGGGGCATCTATGAACGAGCCCTTGTTCAGAAAGAACAGTTGTTCGTCGACAACTTGGAGGCTGCTCGGTGTGTGCTTCTCGCGCAACACCGCATTCCCCTTAAGAACTTCACGACTTGTCGTAAGAAGCCCGAGACCCGGGGTGGTCTCTATCCTGTTTAAGGATACCCCTGGGCTATGCCCGAGAGCTGTCCCACGTGGAGTTCTTGTGAGGACATGTTCTGGGCGTGGGTGGAGACTCTCAAGTACTCGCCCACGGAGTTATGGGAACTCCATGAAGATCAGCAGCTGTCCCACATCCTGGACCAGCGTGATCTTCGTGTGAGGTTTGCCCACTTGATCAGCAAGCGTATGCTGCCAAGGGACATCCTGAAGCGCGCGGCTTCTAGCGCTCACGATGAGCGCGGGTACGGTATGTATTCATCGACCGTACCCCGTTCTGGCAAGAAGCCCCGGACTACTTATGAAGCTGCCGCCGCTTCTGTTCCCAGATTGCGACAGTCTTCGGGCAGTCAATCAGGAGCCGTTCAATCGGCTCCCACGAGTTCTCGGAGTGGGTATAACCCCTCCACTTCACAAGGAGCTGTCGCTTGCCGCGACACCGTTGCTCCTGGAGGATCCGCTCCACGTGGAAGTGGGCTTCTCCATTCCGGTCAAGCAGGGGCGGAGGTGCCCTCGTACGAGTACGAGTACTCGGCGCCTCCCGAGAGCCACTCTCGTCCGAGTGCTCCGACTGCGGGTCCGACACAGGACCCTGAGGTTGACCGCCTCCGTCAACGTGTCGTCGTGCTTGAGATTGCACTTGGCCTTGGGACTGGCGGTAATGCTGCCGCCCAGGCCGGGAATCAGGGCGAGCTCGCTCGTCTTGCGGGCCGCCTGGACCTGGTGGAGCGAGAGGTCGCGAGCCTGCACCTGCGGGTGGATCGCCGGGCCTCTTCGTCCGATCTGGACGAGGCCTTTCGCATGATCCAACGGATCGAGGCTTTGTTGACACGTCCGGAGCCGCCTGCGGCACACTCCCCGACGTACGCGTATGGTGCGTACCCGGCGTACTCAGCGTACTCGGCGTATGGCGCCGGGGTCCGTTCGTATGGAGCCCCTTCGGCGTACGGTCTTGACCGCAGCCTTGCCGTCCCGACCGAGGCTTGGGTGCCTGCTCCGACGCTCTCGTCGACGACTGTGACCGGCCCTCGCTTCGAGGAGCTGGGTCAAGGGGGATCTGCGAGTCAGCAACCCCCTGCGGGTCAAAGTACCGCTTAAGACGTCCGACATAGAACGTCGGGTGCGTCGCCATTGACTTTGGAAGGTCGATGGTGTACGACGCACCATGTCTGGCCAGGACTGCAAAAGGTCCGATGAAGCGGTGCTTCAGTTTGTTGCTGCCGACAGAGATAACAGTGTCTAGAGGTAGGTTCCTCGTGTCTAGCAACACTAAGTCACCAACCTCAAATATACTTAAGTTTCCTCTTCCTTGTTTGTCTGAGTACTCCTTTTGTTTATCTTGGGCCGCTGCCATGGCATCGCGGACCCTGCTGACAATGTTCAGCTTGGTATCCATAAAGGATCTCACCTGTTTCCGCAGCGAAACTGGCCTCACATCCGAGACCTGGGAGGAAAGGGCTTTCCGAGCCTCTCCCCCACTTAGAATAGAGGAGTCAGTGTCTCCTCGAAGAGTGAGAGGCACTCTGGGGTGGCGGAAGCCGTTCAAGAAGAGGGCGTGAGCCCCGTGGACGCGTGCACCGCGTTGTTGAGCGCAAACTCAACAACTGGAAGCTGCGACGACCACGTACGTGGCGCTGCCGCGCACACACTGCGCAGAGTTTTTTCGAGCACTCGGTTGACGCGCTCTGTTTGGCCGTCTGTCTGCGGATGATCCGCAGTGGACATCGGCAGACGAGTTCCCAGTAAAGGGAACAGCGTTTTCCAAAACGCAGCAGTGAACCGCGGGTCTCGGTCCGAGACAATCGTCTCCGGGAGACCGTGATAGCGGAACACGCCATCGACGAACAACCTTGCGGTTTGTTCGCCCGTTACAGTGACGGGAACTGGAGCAAGATGTACCATCTTGCTCAGCCGACACACGAACACCAAAATTCCGGTGTTGCCGTGTCCGTCGGCGGGAAGCCCAAAGATGAAGTCAAGACTCATCGACTTCCGACAATCAGCCGGTACGGGCAGGCTCTGTAGTGGAGCCGAAGAGTGCCCTGCGGGTTTGACCCGCTGACATGTTTCGCATGTCTTGACGTATCGGGCGACCCACTTGTACATGTGGGTCCACCAGAAGGACTGAGAGACCGACAGAAAGGTCTTCTCGCGGCCCAAGTGGCCGCTGGAGGGCGCGCCATGCGCCTCCGCGAGGATGTCGAACTTCAGATCCTCGTCGTTGGGTACGACCACCCGTGGAGGATCAGTGGGCTCCACCCGATAATAGAGGAGGCCCTCCTTCAACTCATATCGGTGGAGCCGTGAGCGCTGTCGCGACGAGAGCCAGTCGGACTTCGCGCTCGTTCCGGCCTTAAGGAACTTGACGATAGGCGCGACAGCCTCATCGTCCCGATACGCCATGCGTATCCGATCATATAGATCCGTTGTCACCCGCGTGATGTGGGCCAACTCATAGTCGGGACGCCGAGAGAGGGCGTCCGCAAGCACGTTGAGCTTGCCCGGCTTGTATTCGACGCGGAAGTTGTATTCCGCGAAGAAGGACAGCCACCTCGCCATCCTTTGGGAGAGGTGAGGCGAGTTAGTCGCCGTCCTCAAGGACGCGTGGTCTGTGTAGATCACAAAGGGCCTAGAGCCCAGAAGGTGAACACGGAACTTCACAAGGGCATATTGCATTGCCAGGAGCTCCTTGTCATGGACAGGGTAGTTCCGCTCGGCGGCGTTGAGCTGCCGGGACTGGAACGAGATGACTCGTTCCTGTCCAGCCGTGTCGTCCTGCAGCAATGCACACCCGATGGCGTAATCGGAGGCATCGCAGACGACGCTAAACGGCTTCATCTCGTCCGGCAGAGCCAGGACAGGGACCTCTTGGAGACTGGC